TGTAGCATTTATAATTTTTGAAGTGCATTCTTCTTCATATTTGGTTAATTACCCACCCAATGCAAAGAGGAAAAATGATTGGGATTGCAAAGGAAACTATTTATTATGATTTTATGCATACATTTTATATTCATATTCAATTAACTACATTGGATGTTGACCATCTTAAAACAATTTTAATATTTGACAATTTGAAAAATAAAATTTTTATTAATAGTAATTGTTTAAAGTTGTATATATATATAAATTATAAATTATGTGTTTTTGTAAAAGATCTTCAAGCCAATAAAATTTGATTTTTGTGTGATTTTTTGGAGGGTGATCATCGTAAAATTTAGCCAATGAAATCCAAGTCACGATGTGATAAACGAATGTCCATTATGCTGTTCTGCATTAGAAATTTCCTTTGCATTAGAATCTTCTTTCACATTAGAAATTTCTGTATATCCTTAGTTATAACTGGAAGTGTTAACTTTGTGATATCTAAGTTTTGAGTTTCATTTTGTTTTTGATATACATTTAATCCTTCTAAAGATCAATATAATGAATGTTACATTCATTATAATTGTAAATCCAATTTTTCATAATGAATTCTTCTGTTTGTACAATCAAATCAATGCTTGTGATATCGCAGATTTTTTTTTAACATTTTGTCACAGCCTATATGAATACCAATTTTCAATTTCAATATCTTTAAGATTTTTATTTTACACAAAGAAAAAGTTTTCTTCTGCTTTTTTTTGGCTGAAAATCTAAAATATTTTATTTTGCTCTGTGTACCTCCCTGTCTCGTTTGGTGGAATAATATGTATAGGATGCTGATTAGAATTTGTTTGATGATAATAGCCCCCTTGATGAGTTTTATCATGAATTATGATAGCATTAAATCCTTCATCATCATGTTCTTTAAAATGATCAGTCATAAGATCCACCTCTTCATGCCATAAACATCTTATCCATAAAAAGACTCTTCATAATAATCCATCTGGTATTCTATTGACATGTCAGGATGCTCAAAATTTGTACCATTTCTTCTTCATAATCAGTAAGAGGATCAGTTTTAAAAAAAAGATATTACAGCAAATTGGATAATTTTTTTTTTGCATTAAATATTTTATCATCATTATTATTTAATGCTTCCTATATAGTCAAATCCACAATAGTTACAGTTCCCATCTTTAATGTAATGGGTACAAAAGAATGTCGTGGGGCCAGATCAAATACACATAGGGCTCTATTCTATTATGAGAAGCAAATTCTCTTTCATTTATGTATCATAGCATCATATGAAAATACTTACATTAGGGTGTGCCTATCTATATAAACTGATGTTATGGTTCTTATTTTAATTTTGTTGAGCAAAGGGTAAAAATTTTTTTTGAATGAGTAAAATAATGATTTGCTAAAGTTAAGTCATTACATGAAAAAGACTAAACCTTAGGGTTAAGTGGCCAGCCCTGGTTGAAACAAGAGCTCTGAATGAGCTGAGTTTGAGCCAACTTAATTAATATCTTTACATAAAATGTATAAATAGAATTTGAGCTTGAGCTGGCTTGGCTCTTTCAGAAATTTACTATTACTAATTAAAGGTAATTTATCATTTTAATAATTTTATTTAATTTATGTTTAATAAAAAAAAATACTACCAATAATGATTTCTATAATAAATGTCATATTTTATATGGTTGCTGATTTAATATTAATATAGGCATTACATTCATTCATTTTTTAATGTTGATTTTTTTGAAACAAAGTAGTTGAATCAAAAATCAAATTTAAACTATAATTAATTAATCACTATTAATATATAATAATATTATATATCAACTGGATAAATAACAATGGTTTCTAAATCTTTTACTACAACAGGATCAATATATGGAATTAATAAAGCATTTAATAACTGTTCATTATATAAAAGAAAACTTTCTTTATTTCCTTTAGCCAATACTTTGAGCATTTCCATTGATCTTCTAGCCAACATAACACAATCTTCTTCATTAGCACCTGTTCTAATATTTCTAATGCTTGCCAATATCAATGTCATTTTAAGCATTCGATTTATAAACCCTGATGTGGCTATAATCCTTTTTTTCATTGTTTCATTATTCAAACTTGCAAAATTAAAAAATGACATTATTAAGGTAGCTAAGAATGGTAATTCTTGAAATGATGATGTATGCGTTATAATATTGCCATTATAATTATATCTACTATAAATATCACTTTCTACTTTTGGTAATAACCTTACAAGCTTTTCAAAAATTGATTTCAATGTATCCTCATCACATTCACTAACTTTCTGTCTATTTTCATATGAGACTGTCAACTTGGATAAAACTTCTAATGCTATCTGTGCATAATAATCATCTGAATTATTTAGAAAATCAGAAATTATCAATAGAAGATCTCTTGCTGCTAGTATTGAAGGCATTGAGACATATCCTGCAATATTTGATAAAATTATTAAAACAATTTTACGATATTCTAATATATCATAAGCTTTTTTCCTTGCATATCTTTTTTTATTATGTAAATCTGTTCTTGAAGATTTATTTAGAATCATTACAAAAAATTTGAATTTCTTTTGATTAACATCATCATCACCACCATCACTATTATCATTATTGCCTTTGTCATCATCATCATCACCATCATCATCACCATAATCCTTATCATCATTACTATTATTACTGCCACTACTGCTAACACAATCATAATTATCAATTGATCCAAGATATAAAATTTCCATAAATGTTCCTAAAATTCTTGGATGATGTGCTAAATATTTATGATTCTCATGTATAAAAGAAAAGTTCCTAATTATATTCAATGCACACCAACACTGTTCATGTAATTGTAACCATCCTTCTGAAATAGAAAATTGTTCAAGTTCAACATCTGAAAACTCTTCACATTCTCTTTTTGATTGTTGAAATAACTCTAAATATGTCAAAAATTTATTATTTGGTAATGAATTTTCCCCTTTAGATTCATTAGAATAACAATAATAATTGATTGATACACAATCCAAATATTCCATTATTATATCAATCAATACATCAACCAGTTCATCACATCTATTCAAATCTAACAATGCATTTTTATAACTTGAAATTATTGTTAATGTGTTAAGTGCATTTGTAACTTCTAATTTCATTCCTGATTTTAATGACATTGTAAGAGCATGAATATCAACTACACCTATTCAAAAAAAATATACAAACATAAACATACATGAGATAAGTTTTAAAAAAATTATTGAATTGATTGACATTACCTAAATCTTGAATCCTTGGTATGACTAAGGGCAATGGCAACCTTTCAAAAACTGTCAAATTTAAACCACCATAACTGTCCACTCTACGTGTTTTTGGTGCATAAATTAATCTTGGTGGTTTAATGGTTTTGGTGTTAATAGGGTTTGTAGTTGGCAATGAGGATGATTGATTAGGAGATTGTGATAAAACTAAAAGTGTTGGCAATATATTATTGGAAACAGAAGGATTTTTTTCAGATTGTTCATTAACTTGACAATTTATTTTGCAAGCTATTCCTTGATTAGTTGGTAAATGAAGTATTGGTGGTAGTTGTGAAATATTCAATAAATTGGTTGGTATAATTGCAGCAGATTGTTGATTTAAATCATCATTATGTTGCTGCTGCTGTTGATTTATGTCATTCAAAGGTTGTTTAGAGTTGACATTTACAAGAAAACCAGAAGAATTAGAAGAATTAATATATTGATTTGAACTTATAGAGGATCCATTATTATCTCCAATGCTACTGGATGATGCTTGGACTGAACTTTGAATATTTTTTAGAGATAAATCTTGTGCAATACTACTACTACCTCCACTGTTATTGTCATCACTATCACTAATAAGATTAACAGTATTATTTGATGGAACAGAAAGTATGCTCGAATTGGTATATTTAGAATCATCAACTTTCATTTTTGGTAGTTTTTTTTGTTGTTGTAGTGGTGGTGGTGGTGGTGGTGGTTGAACTATTTGTAATGTAGAATGAACTGTTTGTGAGCCTAATTCTTGATCTTGATCTAATTTTGGCTGTAACAATTGTTGTGAATGTTGTTCATTGTTGTTTTGTTGCCTTAGTTGTTGTGAATTATCTTTTTGAAGACTGTTTGGACTAATTAGTGGATACAAGGATTTAGAAGAAGGATTTTGATTTGGATAATTTATATTTTTTTGTAATAAGGTACTCTGAGTCCAATCTGGTATACTTCCTTCTACACTATTACTGCTAGGAGTAGTTGAGTCAGTATTATAATTAAAATCATAATCAATATCTTCATCATTAGTTAATTCTAACCAATCCATTTGATTATTAAATGGATGAATTGAGTTATGGATAGTTTGATTAATCTGTTGAGCAGCAGGATGTGAATTATTTATTAAATTATAATGATCTGTAAATGTATTAATTTTTGTTGATAGTTGTTGTAGTTGTTGCTGTTGTTTTTGTAACCGCTCATAATGTTTATTTATATTTTGCATTGGAGAAATATAATTAGGTTGCAATAATACAGTTTTGCCATCTATACTTGAACCATCAGTACTTAAATTTGTTCGAGTTGGCAGGGTGCTTATGGTTCTTACAGTATTTATCAATGGATTAGGGAAAATGCTACTACTACCACCATAAAGTTGATCTGGAGCTAATTGGGATTGATTTTGAATTAAATTAGGGTAGATGTTTTGTATAGATTGAGTTGTTGTAGGAGCAAGAGCAAAACGTTTTGCAGCAGGCATATCATTTCCTGTTATAGATCTTGGAGATTCAACTGGTACTGGATAAACAGACCTAGTTTCCGCAATTGACATCATAGGGTTTGAGTTGCTACTATAAGCTTGTAAATGCGCATTATTTTGATCATCTGCATTTGAATATTGTTGGGGATAAATACCAGTCTGAGGAGTTCCTATAAAATTATAAGGAACAACAAAATTTTGTTGAGGCGTTTGTTGTTGTTGTTGTTGATATAAACTTGGATCCATCGATCAAAATTTTAAAAATTTTTTTTTTTTTAATAAATAAAATAATATTTTTTAATGCGATCCCAAATTACGTACAACACTAAAATCGGCAATCTTTGAAAGCCAATAACTCCACAAAACTCTACGTAATGGAAAAGGTAAACCGATAGAATGAAGAACTTAAGCCTTTAGCTTTTAATTCTATCGGTTTACTTTTTCATTATCTTGGGGTTATTGATCCCAAAGTCAACATAGTAATCGAACAAACCTTCATTTTACCTTAGGACTTGTTCCTTCTAAAAATAAAAATTATAGTCGTGTGACATGTCCTAAAAATCAAGGGGCAAGTTTATTTTCCGATGATCTACACAATTTTTTATTAATAAAATTTCGTCTTCATACCCTCGTTTGATACCCTTGTCGTGTAGCAATTGCCACCAAATTTGATACACAACTTCTATGTCATATGTATCTGCTTTAAAAATTTTTTTGATGCAAGTTGTTAATAAAACCGAAAATAATCTCAGCCTTAAAGTCAAATTTTGACATTATATTCATATATGTAGAAATTTGTTAGTGTGTGCAAAAGTAAATTAAATGTTATAAATATTTACAGAATCATGCTCACTTTGTATGTCTTTATACTATTGTTTATTTTAAAAGAGCAAATAAAATAAAAAAGAAAATCATGGTAAACACAGTAAATGAACTCCAAGAAAGTAATATAAAAAACTGATATAAGAAATCAATAATATTGATAAAAAAAGGGAAGAAGAAATAGAAGAACTCAAATTAAAAAATGATCATTAATTCGCAATTCGCGATAGACGGAAAGGATCGACATACATTTTAATAGTAAAATGCGGGATAATAAACATAATAAAATTAATTAGTAAAAATAATATTGAGCCGATTTTAATTTTAAAAATTTTAAAATGACTAACCGTCCCAATTTAACTATAAATCTCATTTCAATAGGCCAAATAAAGCCACACTTGCATTATGGTGTAAACTCAAGAGATTGGTGGGTTATGAAGAGTAAAAGTAAACCAGAAGAAGGTGCGTTACTTTATCCAAGGAGAGTTGGTTGGGAAACTAGCATAGAACAAAATGGCAGACAATACTATACATGCATTACTGAAGGCAATGAAACTAGTAATTTACTGCCAGGATATAGATGTCGTTCTGGGTGCAAGTTTAGTGATATAGAAGAAGCACCTAGTAATGCAATAACAAGCTTATATAAAAGGCTAAATCCTAATTCAAATACAAATTTTTCTGGTCCTTTGGTTTTAGGTTGGGATAACAAAGAAATATTGGAAGCTTCACTGAAGGATATAGATTTTCAACCCTTTGCTATAAAGTTTGACAAATTTTTAATATATATTATAGATATTGGCATGGGAGAAGAGAGTGATTTTGGTGTCAAAATTGATTATACTTCTTCATTTATAGGTGAATATAATAGAACACGTGCTTTGTTTATTCAAACTGTTGAATATGATCATTGCAAAATTTCTATATATGTGGATAATATTGAATCACCAGTGTTTTTCTTTGGATCTACACCATCAGAAGTATGGGAAAATACAAAGATTTATAAAAAATTCACTGGAATGCAGTTGTTTGGGTTGGAACATCCAATGACCAAACAAAATATACAAATTGGTAAAATTCCTAAATGCACACCTATATCTTGGAATAACGAAAAAATTATGGATGCTATTTTCAATTATAATTTGAAAAAAAGAATTCCTAATATTGACTGGAGAAGAGTTTTTCAATCTTGGCTAGAGCAAAAAAGCACAATTATTGAACTGCATGGAAAATTAAAAAATTTATATCCATACAATCATGAATTTAGTGAACGTGAAATGAGAGCATGGCGTGCAATGTTGAGGGCTACCGGATGTACAGAAATCACACCAGTTTCAATAGACAAGTTAGAGGTAATTTTTATTCAGTTTTTTATTCTAAATTTTCAAGATTTGCATGAGTATTTTTAATTTCTTCATTTTCACTGGAATCAATTTCTTAAAAAACTAATGCAAAATCATCTTGAGCCAGGATTTAAAATCATCTTAAAATTAAAAATATTTTATCATTGATTTGAACTAATACAAAATTTTTTGATGAATTTAAGCATGAATTTTGGTCTCGAAGCTTTGATCCATCAGTTGATCAAGATACCTTGGAGGTTTTAAATAGTAATGGCTTTTTGAATGTGAAAAAAAAAATAGATTTCACTATAGCTGATATTTTTTGGGAATGTTTTAATAAATCATTGGAACAAAACAAAACAGGCTATGATGGTAAAATAAGAATATTGTCAATAATTGCAAGCGAATTTCAATACGAAGAACTTCAAAGAAAACTCAAGGTAAGTTTATTTTAATATGCATATTTGAACTACATTTCATCATTGCTTTGTATCAATGGTGACATTGAACAATGTTGATGGCCCAATGGATTAATGAATTAATGATGGTTGTTATAATTAAAGAGTTCTCCAAAATATTTAAATTCCTCAGATTTTATAATCTAGATGATAATTTTTTATTAGAAATAATTTTTGATTTAAAATTTTGAGTAATATCATTAAGATTAAATATTGTTTAATAACATCATACTTTGATGTTGATTATTTACAATAAAGTATATCCAATAAAATTGTTTTTCCATTGAATTTTAAATTGAATCCTTGTTATTTCATTAAAAAAAAAAATCATCATTAGTCTCAAAATCTATTAAGTTCATTAAGATGTACATAAACATCATAACATTCTTATTGATAGTAATGCCATTAATGATTAAATTGCAACAATTTATACTTCTCTGAATAAAATAGGTGTCATCTAAAACAATATCCAAAGCAAGATTGCATTCCAAAGTTAATGGTCCAGGATGTGCAGGAGTTGAAAAACCAATAATTACAAGAGTTCGAATTACTGAAGAAGCTAAAAGACAATTTGAAATTTTTTTTGCTGACAAAAATATTGTCAATTTAAGTTCTTATAGAGTAAATGAAAAAACTGGTGATCCTGTAAAATATTTGAAAGATCAAAAAGAAACATTGTGGAGAAAATACTTTGAACTACATCCATCTGGAATGAAAAGGACATCATTTTTAAAACGCTTGAATGATGGTTCTTTTGTATATAAGGAAGATATGGGAGGTTTGTGTGGCATTTGTTTTGAGTATGGGTATGGTGTATTTGATGATGTGAAAATCCTAATATCAGGGAGAATAAATGAAAAAGATCATCAGGTGAGTAAATGCTTTATAATAGTTATATTTAACAATCAAATACTGAAATAATTTCATATATTGTTAGAATCAATTAATTGCAGAACTTGAATCAATCCAACGTCATTTAAAATGTGAATATGAAAAAGAACTTGAAGTGGATTGCCTAGGAAATACTTATCATGTTGAATGTCTTGAGCATTGTCTTCCATATGCTTTTGGACAATGTACCAATCCCCATATTTCTAACTGTAACCAATGCAATAAGATATCAAAATGGTTTCATCAACTAATGCAGGTTATGCCAAATGATTTAGAACAAATTATTAATAACAGAAATAAGCTTCAATATTATTGGTCACACCAGGCAAGAAAGACATACCTTAATGCTCAATTTAATGCTAACTTGCTTACTCTTGATGAGGAGGGTGCAATCATTGTAGTTGATTATAAAATGAAGATTTTACCACAGTCAGCTTGTGAAGCAAAATCTGATTTTTATGGGAAATCTGGATGGACTCTACATTCAATGTTAGTTTACACCAAACATAACAATGATTTAGAAATTCAAGCTTTTGATCACTGGTCCTCAGATACAGCCCAAGATGCTTGGTTTACTGCCTCATGTTTTGAAGTTGTATTTAACACCCTTGAAAAAAAACCAAAATGGATAAAAATTCTATCTGATAATGGTGCACATTATCATTGCTCCGAATTGATGGCTATGATTGCAAATTGGAAAATTTGGTATGAGGTGGATGTTCATAGTTGGACCTTTTTGGAAGCAGGGGAAGCCAAAACAACAATAGATTCACATCATGCTCAGGTTTATAATTAATTGCTAATAATAAATTTATTATAAATAAAATTAATTACTTATCTTTCCCTTAATTCCACAGGTATCACATGCAATTAAAAGATATGTTAGGCTTGGACATAATATATCTGAAGGACAAGATATAGTAGAAGCTGCCAAAGAGATTAAAGGAACATCAATTGCAAATATTGAGCCTGATCGTAAGCACAAAGAAGAAAAAAAACCTATAATTCCTGGAATTTCAAATTGGTTTGAATTCCAATGGCCAGTTGAAGGAGAGTTTTCTGGTTTCGTTCGTGGTAGAGCTCTTCCAAATTTTGGAAAATGGAATGATTTCTCTCCTGAAAACATTCGTAAATCAATGAAGGGAGGTGAACAACATAGGCCAAATCCTCAAATTTCCACACATACTGACTCCCAGGCTCAATGGATAACACCAATGCCATCAACAGGTTTGAATTAGTAATTTCTTCTAAATAAAACAATAAATAAAAAAAAGTTTTTATTTTCCATATTCAAATATATTAAAATACATCATCATTAAAATCTATGTCTCAAATTACCACTTATTTTTTAGAACCAGGTATGGGATTGGATAAATTAAAGAAAGATGATATTAAAAAAATGTTGGATCAAAGAGGCCTAAATTATGATGAAAAAAATAATCAATCAGATTTAGTTGCACTTTTAAGAGCAAACATTGAATTTGAAACAGATAATAAAATAGAAGGTAATAAAATTATTTTTCTAAATATCTACCAACTTGGCTAATTATGTTTTTATTATCTAGAAGCAAAGAAAAGAATGGACTTAGATGTAATAGTGGATGATAAAGATGATATAGATAATTTACAACCAAGAAAAAAAAAAAAAAAAAAGACTTATCTATTATAGAAGAACAATTTGATAATGCTGAAAAACATATAGCAACAAGGTATTTGGGAAATTTGATTGTGT